TGGTTGTGTGGTGATAACAGATTGTGAACTCACCTACATACGCAAACGTGTCAGAGACTGGTGAGTTGTCACGTAGAAAGTGGGACCTCCTCCCGGGATCCTTTGATGAAAGGATATATATTGATGGGATAGGAGTACCTCGAGGGGTTCCAGAAGAATTCAAAGCTAGGAATCAGATCGCAGCTGGGTTTGAATCAAGTATTTTCTGGTGGTAAACAATTAATAAAAACGTAGATTGGATAAATTATATTTATTATAACCAGCAAAGATTTATAAACCACACTCGTGATGCAATAAAGGATTGGCTGAGCAGACAGCTGCAACTAGCTTAATGGCATGGCAGAATAGAATAGCTTTAGATATGCTTTTGGCTGAGCAGGGCGGAGTTTGTGTTCTGTTTGGATCTATGTGCTGTACTTTCATCCCCAACAATACAGCCCCGGACAGGTCCGTGACCAAAGCGCTTCAGGGACTCACCACGCTGGCGAACGAACTGGCTGAGAACTCTGGTATTGATAGCTCCCTAAACGGTTGGTTTGATAACATATTTGGTAAATGGAAAACTATTGTTGTAACTATTCTGGGTAAAGTTATAGCTTCTATGGGTATACTTGTTCTTTGTGGATGTTGTCTTATTCCCTGTGTCCGAGGGTTGGTGAGCAAGGCGATGGAGAAGGCGGTTTCCCAACAGATGGTGAGATATGGCCCAATCCCGGACTCCGACCTAAGGAATGAAGGATATGACCTACCAGGCTTGGTGGAGTGACACCCTAGAGGGTGTCTAAAGGGGGTCAAAATGTACTTCCCTGTTTGTGTTTTATGTTTTAATAATCTTGGGTTTTGTGTTCTATTAATCCTGTGTTTTATGCTTTATTAATCAAGTTAACCATTGTGAATGTTTGTCTTTCCTTATGTGAAGGTTTGAAGTTCCTGAGTGGCTGGTAGCCAACCTAGTACAAGTTGGGTGTAGATGGAAGGACTGAAGGCCTTTTTATTATCATTATTGCCTATTAATAAAAGTGTGATTCTTTTTGTTTGTATTGTATTTTAATGAGTGACACCCTAGAGGGTGTCAATAGGGGGATTCCTGAATTTCGCTGAAATTTCTTATTTTGGGTTTTCTTGTTTTGGGTTCACACCCAGTGGGTGTGAAAAGGGGGATTGTGGGGATCTATTTTCTTATAACTGGATGTGATGCCTAGCTTGGAAGGAATGCATTAATGATTAAACATAATAGGTTTGTACTGTACTGATATAAATTGTTTAACATAACAAGCTCTGATTCATGTGAGGAATGTTAGGGAGTAGGGTGAGACAGACTTGTATTTCTCACAGACACATACACACTGCCTCTTTGTTAAACCGCGCTCAAGGACGTGTACTGCAAAAAGGTGCTGACTCTACAAGTTGTGATGATAACAACTTATGCCTGGCAACAGTGTGCAACAGTGAAGCGCCAAGGGGCTGGGACCAGCCTGTGCGCCAACGATAGGCTGAGTAAGTCTAAACCACGCTCAGTCTCTACTCTGATTGGCCAGCAGGGAGCGGGAACTATCTCTGTCAGAGTATTTGAAGAAGAACTTAGAACAATGGCTCAGTTCTGAGTGCACTGCGTGGTATTTCAGTGGACCCGTATATACGAACATCATATTTACCATTGAAGTGGTTTGCATTAATTAAAATACTAGTCTATTTTAGAAGACGTGTATTGACCTCTTTTGTTCCTAATACCAGATTTGAATTGACGCAACTTAACAATTCCCACGGGGGGCCAGTATGAATTTTTTTTATGCACTCACTAACTGTAAGTAGCGCTGGATAAGAGCGTCTGCTAAATGAATAAAATGTAAAATGTAAATTACAACCCAAAAGTAATATGAAATGCACACATAACTTAGCTATGACAGCAATATATTTAGACTACTTTGTCTGAGCTTGCTAGCCAGCCAGCCAGCAGCCCTGGGCGGAGCATTGCACCCATAGACATTATAACCAGTAGATAGTGATAGCGCTGATGTCATCCACGATACCTATGGAAAACTCCCGATGGCGCATGAACCCGGAAGTATTTGAATTTGAAGCCGCCATATTGCTGAATGGCACCAAAAAATCACTAAGGATCATGGTTGATGTAGCCGTTTTCATCCTGCCTGAGAAAGTAAACCGGAAGCCTCCTTGTAGCCTGCCGGCCTGTGATTGGTCTGTGTCAGCACGTGGTCCTGTGTGATGACAAATGTAGTAGTCAGAATGGATCACAATTTAATTAAATATCTCGATTTGTAGCGAACTTTAAAATAATTCACTGTAGGGATTGAACATGATCATACGAAACTAATTTTAGAGGCCAAAACGGCCAGCAAAAAAAATGGGTTTGGCCATTCTGGTGATAGTTATTTACATAGGCTTTCTAGGGCAGACCAGGGCTTTTGGCAACACTAGCTTGCTACGCAGTAGCCAACCACCAGAGCTCATGACTTTACGCTCCAGACCGAACACTTGGGGGCCTGATTGCACCCTTGGAGGTGAAATGCACTCTGGGAATCGTAGTATGTTGTGTAGACCATTAGGCTTGGGCAGTATGCCTTATATACTGTATACTGGGGTATTTGGAAAAAGCCACAGGATGGTTTCTCAATACCATCAATACCTTCAAAACTATTTATTTGAAGTTTTTCAATACATTTGAATATTTGTAGGCATTTTTTAAGTTAATACTTTCAGTCAACTTTTTCAATATGTTAGGAGATAAAGCAGATTGCGTTCTTCATTTCGACTGTCACATTATTTTACATTGTGAAGCTTACGGTAGTTCCCCAGAACAGTTGAGCCAGTCACGTGTTCGTTGTAAAGAGCACAACAAGAGAAAGCGGGAGCTGGTGAGTCCATAGCATTCTATTGGCGAGTCTCTGTTGCGTAGCGCACATGAGGTGAGGAAGTTACACTTGTATGCAATTCACTACTAAATGGTTGCCATGTTTTATAAGTCAAAGAACTCTGTTATCTGAGTTATATGTACAGCTGCCATTTCCACCCCCTGTGCTTCCTTCTAGCGTTTTTTACCTCCTCTGTTCTTCTCCTCCTGCTCCCCTCTGCTCAGTGTACACATGCTGCTTTTCCTTCATCACAACTTTGTTCATTTGCACAATTTCTCTCGTTCACTTTTGCTTGTAAATGTCCACACTCACCGACAATGACATTCGGTAGCTAACAGCTGTGCTTGTTTAACTTTATGTGCTGGATCTGTCTGTCTTTGCAATTAGTTTGTTTGTTCGTTAGCATTTAGCTAACAGCGTCTGTGTGATTTTGCTATTGGTAATAGAGACCCAATGGGCTTTTTTTGTGTGGCATTTTTAGTGCTCTCTTGTGTGCTATGACGGTAATACCATCATCAAAATCTGGATACCGCCCAAGCCTATAGATAGACCATTCTATTTATATGGTGTTTAGACTAGGACAATATAGAAGCTTTTTTATATTGTTTTGGAAATAAACTATACATTTTTTATAAATACAAGTATTTAGCTGTAATGAATAAAGAGTCATAGGTCTAATTAATGTATTTGACCCAATATTATGACTATAGATGAGCAAATGTACCCTTTAATGTATGAAATTACATTTTAAAACAGTTTAGATTTAATGCAATTATTTTGCATGCTCTTATTTTGTAGTCTTAGATATGGTTTTGCAGAAGGAAAATTGAAGATATTCTTCTGTTATAATAATAATAATAATAATAATAATAAAATGCCATTTAGCAGATGCTTTTATCCAAAGCGACTTACAGTCATGCATGCATACATTTTTGTGTATGGGTGGTCCCGGGGATCGAACCCACTACCTTGGCGTTACAAGCGCTGTGCTCTACCAGTTGAGCTACAGAGGACCACAAGTTATGTAACTCCTTACACTCGTGGAAATTGGCCTATATGGGCGAAATTGAAATGTTTCTAACAAAATAACTATAAAAAGCATATGCATGACCATGGTAGCAATTGAAAGAACACTTTGGAGATTATGGGTAAATTATCAGACCAAAGGTGAAGACACAACAGTTCACCTGACACAAGATTGAATCCAAACATTCCACTGATTTTATGTGCATTTTACATTTACTGTACTTTTCACAGTATTTGTCAATAACGAAATCTGAAAAAACTCTGGAAACATTCATTAACATAATAAGAATATTAATGTAACTTTTGGAGTAGGTGCAAGATAATAAAAAAATGACAAGTGTTTGAGTGAGAGGTCTAACTGGTGTATCCAAGTGGCCACACACCTCCAAACTGTGCACAGTTTAAGTAATTTCATTGCACTTTTATGACTCAAAGAAGAGTGCTTTTTTGAGCTCTCCTAGCTGTGCCTTTGAGGAACTGAAGCAAGCATGCTTGTAGTTTTTTGTTTGTAACACAGCCCTGCGTCCCCACCATCACACAATTACTGTTCCAAAAACATTCCATTATAAATCACAATCTGGGTCAGGTGGGCATCATTTGAAGGCTTATTATATTGCCAACCATGGCTAGCTAAGTTATAAAATAAGATCTTACAGTGTTAGGCATTCAAAAGGCACTTCAGACAAACAGATTGTAATTTTGGTGCGCATAGAATGGAGTCATGAGTGCATTCAAGTGCGTGTTCCACGGCTAATTTTCTTCACAATACGACAAACATAGGCTCATTCTGTTCAGGACAACACGGGGTATTACGCATGTCATCCTTGTATCTGTGGATCAAACATAGCGATCATAAAAGTTGATACTGTAAATGACATGAGTTTTAAAATATGGAAATGTGAAGTGCACATTTGGACTCACGGGTGTGTGGTTTGCTTGTATGATATCAAAGCGGTATTTGTTATAATCCTCAAAGTCCAACAGTTTTTTCAATTTCAAGTTATTTTAGAAGAAATAGTGAATCATGCAAGGGTGCCAATATATTTGACCGCAACTGTATATGTTTATGTTATGTTTAGTATTTAATTGCAGGTGCAAGGACTACAACTGAAAAACAAAGTAGAGGGAAAAAATAGGAGAAAATACCTACTAGAGCAAGTTTTGGGCAGCATGTGTGTTGTTTGGTCCTTCTCCCTACCTTGGCACCATGAAGTCGAGGCCGGAGAGTTTGGCCTTGCCGGGGTGTGTGAGGAGGACGCTGTATGAGGAGAGCGCTCTCGGGCACCAGGGCCCGGCCATGCAGGTAGAGCAGAGCCTCACACACTTGCAGGACCACCAATAGCATGGTCTCAGCACGCACCACTGGGAACTCAGCACGCTGGTGCAGAGGAGCACAAATACACATGCATTTAATTCATCCAAATATTTAAGTACAAAACACAGATAAATGTTGAAAGTGTGTGTGTGTGTATGTGCGCCTGTGTGACTGGTGGGGATTACCCTCTGGTGCAGCAAGTTGTGCAGGGAGCTCATGTGGATCCTCTCAAACAACAGGCAGACCCTTAGCAGGTCACTGGAGATGCCCACTACCATCAGCTGAAGCAGGTGGGGATGTAACAGCTGGCTACAAACAGACAGTCACACTGCAGTTACTGGGTTAGGCCCTATATCCCTAGACGACAGCATCAATAGCACTGAAGTGACAGGTGTGATTTAGGTAAAAGACTATCATTTGGAGGAACACTAGAGAAAACTCAACGCAACAGTTAATTCGTTTTTTCTTTAAGGGGTTTAAAACAGTTCAAACTGATTTTGTTGTCGTCTTCTCACCTGGAGAACTCCAGCTCAATGAGCAGCAGATACCGGTAGTAAAGCCCTGCACAGGCATGAATTTTAAGCCTGAGCCCTACCCATGCCCGTGATGTTCAGGCACTACCCTACCCAGGCCCGATTGCGTTTGCCAAATTTAAGGCCCGGCCCTGCCCAAAACCCGAAATCAGAAATAACTTCCTCCGTTAGTAAATCTATTAGCTGCTCCTCTCGGTCTGTCACTCGCTCCCTTCGTACAGCTCGCTCTGCATGCGCTCTGCTCATGGCGGCGCTGAGTCTGTGAGTCTCCATAGCAACGGCTCCGCTTGGGCTGCTCCGACAAAACTCAAGGAACATGATTATTTTCTGTTAAATAATTGCTCCTGTCTTATATTTGATGAGGTTGAAGCACTTCTGACACCATGTTATGATCTTAGTCAGATATGACTGTACTGAGCAGCAGAACACAAGCAAATGGCTCAGCTTCAAAATGTTAGTGATCAATTTAGTGATACCTGAGCCCTGCCTGTACTCTAGTTATTTATGAAAAAAAACAGGCCCTACCTGGCCCTAACCCGATGTATGTCAAGGCCCATTGGGCTTTGGTCGGGTAGCAAAGCTCTACCAGGTAGGCCTCTTGGCTGCGGAGAGGGACTGCAGCTCCTTTAAAGTGACCATGCAGCCCTTCCAGCTGTAACTGACAGATGGAACAACCAGCTTAGTGGACAAAATCAAAGACTGTAGCTTCTTAATTGATGCAATCCCATATGAGTTATAAATTATAAGACGTGGTTCCAGTGGTCTTTCTTGGTCATGGTAATAAAGGAGCCACAGGTGAAGGAGAGGGGTTTGTTGTCCACCTGCCCTAACTCACTCTCCCTAATCACAGGCTGGGAGGCCAGAAGGCCCAACGCATGCCCCGGCTTATCTATAGACAACTGGGCCCAGCAAGAAAACACACAGTCACTGACTCTCATCCAGATACACAATACTGCCATTCCAAAACATTACCACGCTATATGCAATTTAGCAGACGCGTTTATCCAAATAAACTCAAACACTATCCGATATATGACAGTCTCATGATGATGATATAGGGACAAATCCTAATATGACATGTGGGCACGATGCTACTTTTTTGGTCTTAAATCGACATCACTGATTTAGGCAAAAGTTTGATCTTGAGCCAGCGTGAATCCATGTTTGTACCGGTATGTTCCTTTCCGAAGCTAAAATATTGAACTGTGTCAAAGACTTGGTCATCTTTCTGTTGAGGTGCAGGTCAGAGCCACTGCAACATGGGAGAAATGGGGAAAAGTTGACTTCAGAAAACAAACCCTAAAAAAGGGGTGTATCAATGTAGGATTCTCTCCTGGCTGCTCACCCGGACATAAGGAGCTCTAGTAGAGTGCGGGGGAGTGCAACAGGGTGGAGGAGAGGGTCCGGCGCAGCTCCCTTGGCTGGGGGGTCTGAGACAGGCTGTGCATGTGGGACACACAGTCCTTCAGGAACTCAAGCATCTGAATGACAGAGAGAGAGAGAGTTTAGTAGTGCATACAGCATGTATCTGATCATTTCTCCATGATAAATGTACCCTGACTCTGTGACCACTAACCCTGGCGCTGTGCTCCTGAGCCCCAGCCTCGGCCCAGTCTCGGGGGCTCCTGCCTTTGTGGTCGTGGAGCCTCAGGTCCTCCCCTGCGTCCAGCAGGCCAGGTGTTACAGGAGAAAACGGCAGTGTGGACGAGGGTGCTCCTGTTTTCACAGCGACTACACAGGAAAAAGGTCACTTAAGAGTATGGTGCCATGCAAAACACATAAAACGTGCTGTACTAAAACGCTTATTAGCATATTATAATTTCTACTACACAACTTTGAAGTATTTATTTTATGTCTAAAAGAGAGGAGACATGAGAGAGTATTCATGTGCAGTGTGTGAATGACTTGTCAGTCTTACTGGTTAGGGTCCACTCCATATTGCAGTAGCAGCTCAGTGACACCTGCCAGACCCAGGCAAGAGGCACAGAACAGAGGTATCTATCCCAAGTGATTGACACAGTCCACATCCACACTTATAGCACAGCATCAGAACAATTGATGAATGATAAACTTAATTAGGAAACCATTTATTCATAACTGCCAAGCTCACTGGGTAGGTACTAGTAGGTAGGGATGGAGAATGCTTACTCATCATCATGCATTACTTGTGTTATTGTTTTGTTTTACCTTTCTTGAGCAGCTTCTCCATCTTGTGCAGATTATTTTCCATAGTGTACCTGTGCAGCTGAGCAGGTAAACCTCCATTCTTCACAATGCCTAATCGCACTGGGCAGGGTACAGGCAAAGCAGCCATCCTGCTCCAACTAAAGATACCACCAGGGGGGTCGCTGCAGTTAAACAAGATGTACTGAATGTCAGTTAGCTGGCTAGCTAAAAACAGCTGTTTTTTATTCTGGGGAATCCAGACAATACATTATATAAAGACCTTGTAAAAAGTACAGTGGCTTGTACAGTATTCACCCCCCTTGGCATTTTTCCTATTTTGTTGCCTTACAACCTGGAATTAAAATTGATTTTGGGGGGTTTGTATCATTTGATTTACACAACATGCCTACCACTTTGAAGATGCAAAATATTTTTTGTGTGTGAAACAAACAAGAAATAAGACCAAAAAAACGGAAAACTTGAGTGTGCATAACTATTCACCCCCCCAAAGTCAATACTTTATAGAGCCACCTTTTGCAGCAATTACAGCTGCAGATCTCTTAGGGTAAGTCTCTATAAGCTTGGCACATCTAGCCACTGGGATTTTTGCCCATTCTTCAAGGCAAAACTGCTCCAGCTCCTTCAAGTTGGATGGGTTCCGCTGGTGTACAGCAATCTTTAAGTCATACCACAGATTCTCAGTTGGATTGAGGTCTGGGCTTTGACTTGGCCATTCCAAAACCACTCGAGTGTTGCTTTAGCAGTATGCTTAGGGTCATTGTCCTGCTGGAAGGTGAACCTCCGTCCCAATCTCAAATCTCTGGAAGACTGAAACAAGTTTCCCTCAAGAATTTCCCTGTATTTAGCGCCATCCATCGTTCCTTCAATTCTGACCAGTTTCCCAGTCCCTGCCGATGAAAAACATCCCCACAGATGATGCTGCCACCATCATGCTTCACTGTGGGGATGGTGTTCTCGGGGTGATGAGAGGTGTTGGGTTTGCGCCAGACATAGCGTTTTCCTTGATGGCCAAAAAGCTCGATTTTAGTCTCATCTGACCAGAGTACCTTCTTCCATATGTTTGGGGAGTCTCCCACATGGCTTTTGGCGAACGCCAAACGTGTTTGCTTATTTTTTTCTTTAAGCAATGGCTTTTTTCTGGCCACTCTTCCGTAAAGCCCAGCTCTGTGGAGTGTACAGCTTAAAGTGTTCCTATGGACAGATACTCCAATCTTCGCTGTGGAGCTTTGCATTTCCTTCAGGGTTATCTTGGGTCTCTTTGTTGCCTCTCTGATTAATGCCCTCCTTGCCTGGTCTGTGAGTTTTGGTGGGCGGCCCTCTCTTGGCAGGTTTGTTGTGGTGCCATATTCTTTCCATTTTTAAATAATGGATTTAATGGTGCTCCGTGGGATGTTCAAAGTTTCTGATATTTTTTTATAACCCAACCCTGATCTGTACTTCTCCACAACTTTGTCCCTGACCTGTTTGGAGAGCTCCTTGGTCTTCATGGTGATGCTTGCTTGGTGGTGCCCCTTGCTTAGTGGTGTTGCAGACTCTGGGGCCTTTCAGAACAGGTTTATATATACTGAGATCATGTGACAGATCATGTGACACTTAGATTGCACACAGGTGGACTTTATTTAACTAATTATGTGATTTCTGAAGGTAATTGGTTGCACCAGATCTAATTTAGGGGCTTCATAGCAAGGGGGGTGAATACATATGCACGCACCACTTTTCAGTTATTTATTTGTTCGAATTTTTTTAAACAAGTTAATTTTTCATTCCACTTCACCAATTTGGACTATTTTGTGTATGTCCATTACATGAAATCCAAATAACAATCCATTTAAATTACAGGTTGTAATACAACAAAATAGGAAAAACACCAAGGGGGATGAATACTTTTACAAGGCACTACTGTACATACACTACTGTTCAAATGTTTGGGTCACTTAGAAATGTCCTTGTTTTTGCTTTTTCACTGAGGTGTTAGAAACTGGTTCAATGTATCAAGCAAATTATCATTAATGGCAAGTGGCATGCTAGCTTTTTAATTTGTCTGCCTGTGTCAATCTCATTCAAGTCGTGAAACGGGTAAGAAAGAGAAGGTTGCAGAGGGCTGTGTCGAGCTACGCCTTTGCACCGTCTGTCAAAGTGAAACTGCTAAATTCTGGGTTTCATTCTGCTGCAGACCTGTTTGACTTGCAACCTCCAACTAAGCAAAGGTAGCCAACCAGTCACTGTTGTTGTAGTTGTTGATGTATCATTATTACAGTAGTAGGTTATAATACAGTTACAGGACATCAACTGGGTAAAATGCATTACACCTAAATAACCCAAATATATTGTTTTTGTCAATATGTGGTTCCAGCTAACTTAATTTCCCAATGCGTCTTACAGTGCATTAACATTTCTATCTCTCCCCTTCAAGCTTGTCTATCTTATCCTCTTCAGCTCCATCCCTGTGTTTGTATTTGTAGAGGCTGGCATCTCCCAGGAGGAGGCAGTAGAGGTGCTGTGAGGTGTGAGCCTGGCCAGGAGAGAGCAGCAACAGGCAGGCTGACGGCGCTGGAGCTTCTGGAGAGAGAGCAGTAGCTGGGCACCATCTTCACCTTCTGCTCAGCGCTGGACACAGCCCTGGGAGAGGGCCTGCCGGTGGGGAAGACCACTGAGGTCTGCGGAGCGCCTGGGGTGGGAAAGACCCAGCTCTGGTAAGCTCTGGTACCTCTGTGTGGAAGAGTTATCTGGACACAGCCCTGGGAGAGGGCCTGCCGGTGGGGAAGACCACTGAGGTCTGCGGAGCGCCTGGGGTGGGAAAGACCCAGCTCTGGTAAGCTCTGGTACCTCTGTGTGGAAGAGTTATTCACCTTACTCAACTGTTCCAAATAATGTAATAATAACACAATAAAATAACTGCACGACACATTCACACCTAAACCCCTCGTTCTGTGTCCATAAGTATCCAGTTGGCAGTAGATGTGCAGATCCCTATGTGTTTTGGGGGGCTGGGAGGCAAGGCTCTGTACATAGACACGGAGGGCAGCTTCTTGGTCCAGAAGGCTGTGGACCTACCCAGGCAGCCGTGGACGACTATTGGCTGCTAGCAGAGGATGCACGTAACTAAATAGTACAGGACAGAACAAAAACAATGAGACTGAACGTTTATATATCATCCATCATATAGGATGACTTATGACTGATTTGTGAAGCATCTATTTAGTGCTTATGAAGATTTCAAATATTGAACGTATTTGTTACATTGGTAGTTATCACTACATTGTCATACACAGGTAATAAATGTATACTAGGCTATGAAGAAAATTGTTTACTGATGAAATAGTATTGTTCTGGTATTTGGTAAATGCTCACATATGGGGATCAACAGTACTGTTGCATGCATTCAATCACTGCTTGGTCGTTTCGTCACACCTTTTAATCGCTACTCTATGTGTGAGCCATGACAAAAATTGACAAAACTACAGATGGTGTAGAGAAAAAAGGGTTCCATCTTAGATTTAAGCTTAATTAGAGAAATGTTTTACTTCACTGTCTCTGATTTCTTTTTCTTAATTTTTTCCTTCTCCAGAGCAGCAGGAGGCCTTGAAGGAGCTCACTGTGGAAACAATCCTCTTGTGGAAACAATCCTCTCCAACCTCATCCTCGTTCGTTACCATGACTACATGGAGTTGTTGGTGGAGAAGTACCTCCTGGCTGACTTCCTTGCTCAGCACCCTGAGGTACTAATCCCCACCAATACTGTCACTGATCCCAAAACATCCTACCAATAAAATCCAAAGGGGTTATTTCTACAACCTCCATTTTGGTTTGGGCTCCGTTCCATTTAAATTCCAGTCAAATTCAAGTAAAGAGTCTAAATGGAATTCCTTAACTTAAATGCTCATAGAAAATTATGGCTAGATTTCTGGATTGGCTGGAGCGAGATAGAATAGTAGAATTTTTTTTTACATCGAAACAGCAAAGACAGCAGCAATAAAATACTTTGCTTGTGGCTTTTGGATAGTAACTTAGGCCCCTGTATTGGTCCAATCCAGGTCCAGCTGGTGGTGATTGACAGCAATGCCTTCCTGAAACCATGCTCGCCAGACTTGCGTTGTCTCTCTGTCCTTACTCTGTGATGAGGTGATGTTGAAGGAGTCAGGCGCAGGAGGGTAAATCACAGAATAACAGGCTTTATTCCGCAACCACAGAGTTACGCAGGAACGTGTCAAAACACTCCAGTGCACTGGAAAATACAAGGCACACAGGAAAATATCCTGGCGATACAAAATACAAGTAGCTCCACCGAGCTTCACTACTCTCCACAATAAACAATCACACACAAAGACAAGGGGGCAGAGGGAACACTTATACAGGTACTGATGAGGGGATATGAACCAGGTGTGTGTAATAAACAAGACAAAACAAATGGAATGATGAGATGAGGAGCGGCAGTGGCTAGAAGGCCGGTGACGACGACCGCCGAAGCCTGCCCGAACAAGGAGAGGAGGCAGCTTCGGAGGAAGTCAAGACATACTCATTATTTACAACCTCCCATCTCTGGTCACAATCCAACCGTGCATCTAGACTAAGCACTCTCATCCCAAGAGATAAAAAGGCTCTTATTAGTGCAATGCTGATTTAAGCGGCCAGGGAGATTGGGATCTAAACGGAATGGCCGCTCCATGCCAGGATGGCGCTGCACAGTTTTTAATCAGCAAAATAGTTATCTTATGAGCCCTGGAGCAAATTCACTTTGTTCTAGTAATTTGTTGGTTGGCGGCTCTCAGGGACCCCTTGGAGGACACAAAAACAACAGAGCCGGTGGACAGGACAACCTGTTCCAATTTGAGCCCCATGTGTGGGGGGGGGGGGTCCGTGGAGGTACTGCAGGGGGTCAGCGATGTTAGAGTTTACACTTCCTTTTCCAATTATATGTGGGGAGGTCAAAATAATGATAAGCTGTCTACCAAATCTATTCATTAAAAAATGGTCATTACTTCTCCATGCCATTATCATTCACCTGATGATAAGACAAGGCATGTGACATTTTTTGGTGGGCTAACGTATGATGGGGCCCCTGGGTCGCCGGTTTGCCTGGGAGGGGGTCCCTGGGCAAGAAAAGGTTGAAGACCATTGCTGTACAGACATACCAGTAATGATCCTCTGATTGTGGAGAGCTGGAGTTACTTTCTGCTGCTCTGCTGTAGAGAGGGAGAGTATGACTCATCCTGATGTAAGCCCACAGGACCTGTCTCTATGTTTGCTGAGTACATTCCTACTGTATGTCTACCAATACCTAAGTTGTTGTGTTACTCTGTGCCCAAGTCCACATAATAACCTAGTCTAAATTACATCTCCACTGTCATCTCTTAGTCTGAAATGACAATACAGCATACCGGTTGTATTGCTGATGGATGGAGCATCAACACATAGGCAGGAAATTATAAACACCTCAATAATTTTTGGGACCCAAGCCTCACAGCTGTAAGGGACAACAATTGAAGTGGAAAAAAGAGGGTGCCGATAATAATGCGTTGTTAAGGAGGGATGTGTTTCATTGATCACCAAACTCTTCTTTCCTCAGAACATAACACTGCATCAATGAGACTGAAGAGGACTTTTAACCTTTACTATTTCTCTCAGGGTGAAATGATTAACACAATAAATATTGCCTGTTGTCTTATTTTCGCCTCTGTCATGTTTATGCGGAAGCCAGTTTCCTTTAGATGAACTTTCATTTCCTTCATGTTTAGGTTGTTCTTACCAATCAGGTGACTACAAAGGTTTGGAGTGGCCAATCAAAGCTTATTCCTGCCTTTGGTGAGAATGACTGTTGCGATGGACTGACTGTAGATGCTACAAATGACAATAAAAATCGTACCTCTCCTTAAACTGTACATCAAAGTTATTTAACAGAACTGGTTCGGGCCAAGTTTTAATGCACATTTTGCAATTCAGCCAGTCATATACCTCACCCACTTTAAACCCTTTATATTTAACATACTGTACCATTAGCTTTACCCTGTCTGCCAATGGCTCATAAATATTAGTTAAGTGTCATGTTTGTTTGTGTGGCTGTGCTAAGTGACTGTGTGGTTAAACGTTGATGCATGGGGTTAGGTCACTGTGATTGTAGATGTGGTTAACATGGCTCTGTGTGGGTGTCTGTGCTCTTGTCAATCTGCAGGTGAGAGCTGAGGGCACACACAGGTACCTGTACTGTACTGTACTAACACCCCTTCACATGGATGGTCTCTGGAAGGAAGCCTACATTAGGGCTGGGCGATATGGCCAAAATATCATATCACAGTATTTAAAATGGATGGTTTGACGGTATTTTATGTTTTTTAATAATAAAAGTTCAAAATTTGCTTTATGAGTAGTACGTGACCCAAGGGTGGCAACACATACATTCTAAGTGATTTCAATGTGTCACGTCTCCTCCCGTTGCTCCCCTCCGGCGCTCTGATTCGCCGGTCTACTGAGCCACCGGTCTGAGCGCACCCTCTCGGCAACACCGGAATGGAAACCCAACGCACCCTAATCACTGCCAGCGCACCTGCACCTCATCATCACCCCTGGACTGTTCAGTGTTGCGTCGTGTGTGATTGTTAGTGTCATGTCGTGTATTCGCGCGCTGTTGTTCTCTTGCTCAGTGTTAAGTAAACCTTTACATTGTTGATTCCTGCCTCTTCGTATCCTCAGTACTCGTCACACAATGGGTCTTTCTCCATTCTGATTGTTTTATACTGTTCAATTAAACTTCAACCCAAAATAATTTTCAGCATTTTCATCAATTTCTGCATTTCCTGCACTGATTTGAGATCATTTCCACACTGCCACGTAGAGTTGCACGATATGGGCAAACAACCTAGGCCTTATTTTTAACCAAATGATGCAATTGCGATTTTACTTGCGATTTAGAGCAAACACTTGGAATCATGGAAATATAATGATTATTCCAATTCTATAGTTAGAATATAACTATAGTTAGAATATAATAGTGGCACTTTGAATACTGTATTGTTTGACATGACAACGAATGAAAATGCCAGGAAGGAGTTATTGTGACAGGCTAGGAACCAAAGTGTTGACAAGTGTTTCCTAGGGGACTATTATCTTTGGCTACATTGAATGTTTTCTCTTAGCTAGTTCATGTAGCTAACATAATCATGCTTCGCGTTTTCCTCTTTGATTTAAAAGATACTGTTGCACAAATAACATGCTGATTTAGGTCTACACCATCACTGGTATTATCAGGCTGTATAACTAATTACGTTTGCTCTGACTCAGTACATTTATTAGCATTAGCGGTTAACAAGATTTAGGCCCAACTAAGAAAAGACAAACTAGCTGTTTGCAGATGTAAGAAACACAAACGAAATGTGTAATTATAGAACACTAGGGGATTTATATTAAGAAGCAAAGTTAAAACAGCATCCTTGTCATCAACATTGTTGCATGTGCTGCATTGACCATGCAGACTGAACGCTAGTGTCTTGTAGTCGAGGAACAACTATTGCGCTCCTTGAGTGACTGGGCTAGGTCTGTGTGGAAAGCGACATGGACAGAGAGAGAGCAGAGAGAGATGACTCAAGTAGCGAAGTAAACTATAAAAATAAACGTTACACACGGCGTATCCCATTAAACAAACCAAACATTCAAATACCATTATAGAAAGTAAAGTAAAAACCCAAACCAGTCTGTGCATCAATACCGGTATATTGTAAAATACTGTATACCGCCCAGCCCTAGCCTACATGCTACCGCAATGATGTGTCCCTACAGGCACAGGGATTTCTTCTCTTTGTCAACCATTTTCCAAGCCTTACATAAGAGAGGCTGCTCTACTTTTTCTCTGACAGCTCAAAAGCCCCCCCCCAAATACTGTACAATAACAGGAGACACTGTCATAAGTTATTCTTCAGATTTGTTTGTTTTTCATAAGTGTAGTTCAGTTCCGCCTGCTCTGAAAAAAATTACTTTCATATTTCAAGCTTTGGTCCAGAGCCAGTGCAATCCCCGCCTGACAATTGTCACCTGTCCTTTCTTACTACAATTGCTGCTGCCTGCCTATCAGTCAGTGGAGAAAAGCTCAGGCGGA